AGCCGCTTTTTCAAGTCTTTCTCTCAAAAAGGTGTCAATGCAAAGTTAGGTTTGTTTCATACAAAGAGGACAAATAAGACGATTTAAACCACACTTACAGACTCAGTAGATATGAGAGAAGAGGCTCAAAGGAAGTGGCATTCTTTTTCTTCTAAATGGTGACAGCTTATGAGGGATTAGTGATGAGGTGAGAAGAGAAAGTGTCCTGGGAAACCTACGAAAGGTTAATTCCTTGGTGTATCTAGGTGGAGGTTATAAGACCTTAGAGCTGCAAGAACAAGGCAATGTGATAATTAGAGATAGATTAGACAGACAGACAGACAGATAGATAGACAGATGACAGATCGAACGAACACACACACACACACACACACACACTGCTTACGGAAGGTATTTTTAATCTTTGTGGAAAGGAAATTTACAAACTATGGCAAAAGCAAACTATGCATTTCCTTTTGACCTAATTTCACAAAATTTGTGCCTAATGAATAATTTGGGAGCAGCACCAAGATTTTTCCACAGAACCAGAAACAACATACATATCCAGTAATAGTACACTGGTTTAACTGTTATATACTCACACATTAGAAGAGTAGGCAGCCATTAAATGTGTTGTTCTGGAAGAAGGGGCAATGATTGGGGAGAAAGGTGTGCAATTTAAGGTGGGGAAAGCAAGGTCCAAAACAATATATACTATATAATCTCCATTTTTGAAGAAATAATTTTATATATACAAAATAGAAATTAAAAAAAATAAGGATATATAGTAAGAGGTTAATAGTTTTTTGTTTTAGGGGAAGGATTACAAGTTTACTTTCTTTATAAATCATGTTCTTAAAAATCTGGTCTAAGTAACAGGTTTGCAATGAGAAGTTATTCCAAATGACCAAAACAAAAAATTTCTGTGGGTTATCATGTTTGTTCTGATTGGCGTCTTCTATATAACCAGCTGCCTCATAAGTCTGAAAACAATTTTCTGAAGGTCCACATGCTATTCCATGGAAGGGTGAAGATGACAGAGCTTTGGGAGACAAAGGCTACTGCCTAGCACTGTATAGTGGCAGATCTTTATTTAGTAAATCTTTTGTCTTGTTTATGAACCACACCAGCCTCATTTTCCTTTTCCCACCATAAAACATGACATTTTTCTTACCAATTTCATTTCAGGTTCAAGCAAGAATCAGTCTAGAAGGAAAGAGAGGGAAGGTGGGAGGGAAAAGGGTGTGCCACCTTGCTGGCAGAAACACAAAGAACAAATAGAAATACTGCTTGATTCAAGAAGACTTTTAAATCACATTTAGTTGGCAGTGTATCTCATGGCCTCCCTCTCCTCGGGTGTCTCCAATCAGCCATTTGCAGAAGAGTCCTTGGCGAGAATCTCTAATGTTTCCTGCTTTTCAGCTGTAGAGAAGCAAGGAGACCTGAGGAGGAAACACTTACAGATGTGAGCGACTGGGATGGGGGCCGCCTCCCTGTAGCTTTTGGTCTGCTTGTGGTTGGGTGACTGAGTTTCTCAGTAGAGGATACCACGGAGTCAAAACCTTCTAGGTCTAAAACAAAAATAAAATCAATTGTTACAGGGAAAAACAGGAGTGAGAAAGGCTTTTACATTATGTCACAAGTACCTCTTTTCTTAATAATCGTCCTTTCCATCTGGGTTATCCTTTATCTTTTACAAAGGCTATTTACATCCTTTGGCCATTCAATAAATATGATTCAAACTGAATGAAACAATCATTTCCTTCTTAGTTTCACAAGCTAGCAAGCAGGAGAAAGAAACATGAATTTTTCTTTTTCCCTTCAACAACTACATCCATAAATCTTTAAAAAGCTATAAAAAGAAGATTAAAGGAGGAATTCTCTTTTTCCACAAATCCAAGTCCATTTTAGTGGATAAAAACATTCTTGCAGTCTCAACACAAAAGGCAGTTATCACAAGGTACAATACCCACAGGCAAATGAATGCTGGTCATTGATTCTAAAAGACAAGAGGGAGCAGGCTCCTCCTCTGCTTGATAATCAGTAGTCTGATTATCAGCTGTCACCCTGATGTTGGTCTGTAAACTCCTTAGAGAGAAGACCAAACTTCTACTTCTCCAAATAACTCACAGATCCCAACCCCATTCTGTTTTCAGAGTCATTATTATCTTCTACAGTTGTCAGTCTGTTCATCCATTCATTCCCTTGTCATTGAGCAACTACTCTGTCACCCAGAGCAAAAGATCCTGAGGCTACCCCAGTGAACATGGCAGAAATGGGCCCTGCCTTTGGAGAGCTTACATCCCAGTGACTGATGCTCAGAGAAACAGAAGATCATTCATGTGTCTAACACATGTCCGGAGGGAGGCCTTTGACTAGACTTTGCCAACCTCTTGAATGAATGATCATACCAATGGGTTACCCAGTTCTGTAGAGTTCTGGGGATCTACAAACCAAGTACAGATGTGTGTGGGATGCTCAGAGGAATGGCTAACAGAAAGGGGCTGACCCTGAGCACCATTATTGCTGTTGACTAGGACAATACCATTTCTTTGCCACAAGTAGACTGTGTTTTAAATGCTATGGCATACATGACCTTCCCAAACCATTCCCCACTCTCCTTTCTAACACAGCCCCACTTTTGTTTTAGGACAATGTGCTCAGTCCTATGACTGGTCTAGAGACAGCTATGTAGCCCAATTTGGGTCACTGGGAAATAAAGGTAAGTCTACTGAGCTTCTAGGAAAGAGATTTCCTCTCTGTTTAGAAAGGGATGAGTGAGAAGAAGGTCTTTTGTGTTATATCCCTCTGCCTTCTGACTTGGGAAGCTGTTCGGCGAGGAGAGGATGCCTGGAGTTATAGCAGCCAACTTAGGGACCACAAGAGGAGGCATGGCCATGAGGGGAGATCTTGAAGATGGAAGAGTCGAAAAATGGAAAGAGCTTGGGTAACTGACAACCTCAGTGACCTGTCCACCAACCACGGAATGACCAAGTGCCTAGACTTCTTGTCATGTGATTTTTAACAAACCCTTATTATTTTGGTGAATTTTTATCAGATATTCTGTATTTGCAGCTGAAAGTATCCTAACTGCCATAACTGCAAATATGCTGTCTCAGGGCAGAAAAGTTAAAAATAAAATTATGTGTGCCCCCCCCATATTTGGGGGAGAACTTTTTTGCTGATGATTATAATAAATAGTTAGGCTGTGTGACAGCTTACTCTAAATAACAAATAACAGCAGGTGTTATTTGTAAACTATTTCCTTTAGTGGACTATGCAAAACTGAGCACAAGGCAATGGTCAGGAGAAGCCATTAAAATATACCTGGGATTATATTAAGTGACATTATTCTAGCACCTGGTGAATGAATAATAACTCAATTAATTACTCTTATCAGGGCAAGATAAAAATAATCAAAGGTTAACCATCTGCAAAGACAGCTTGAAGAAAATCATCCATGATTTTCTGGAAGCCAAGCAGAAGCCCATTAGTATTTAGCACCTAGGTAAGAGTCATAAAGGGACCCACTTCTCCAGCCAGCTCCATGGGGTGCCATGAAGATCTGGGTCAGGGGAGGAGCTGGCTCACTAGACTGGTCCCTTTCAGGGGCCTTCCCTTTAAACAATCTTATTTTCTTAACAGGTTCTCCTTCAGATTCTACCCTTACCTCTACCAACTCCCTGTTGTCTGAAATGGAAATTTCCCATTACACAGGTAGATTGATGCAAAAGGCCATTACTGACATTAATATTCCTCAATCTTTCTATTTAGTTAGTTTTTTAATCAGTGCATTATAGTTATACATAATAGTGGGGTTTATTTTGACACAGTTATACATACATGGAATATAATTTGCTCCATTTCAATTCCTAGGACTTCTACCCCCCGCCCCTTTCCTCTACTCTATTGAGCTTCCTTCTATTTATTTATTGGTTTGTTTTATTTTTCACTTTTAGTGCATTATAATTATACATAATAGTGGAGTTCATTTAGACATAGTATTGGTGCATTTAGATATATACATAGAGAGAATTCATTGTGATATATTAACACATGTACATAGCATAATTTGGTCAATTTCATTCCACAGTTCCTTCCCCTTTCCTATCCTTCCTCTCTTCCCCTCCCTCACTCTTTGAAATTAGTTTTTCTCTGATCACAAAAGTAATACATACTCAATACCTGATTTTTTTTTAAAAAAAGAAGTGAAGTTGTTAACAACAAAAGAAGGTCAACTATAATCGTATCACATTGAGACAACTACTATTTTTTGGTATATATTCCTCTAGGACTTTATAAAATAGAGAGCATAGCTCATATCATATGTAATATTGCATTCTGCTTATTTCACTTACCTTTATATGCTATGTCTCTAAAAAAATCTTCACAAATATTTTGATCATTGTAATAATCTATAGCAGTGCTACTCATCATTTATTTACTCAATGCCGCATCGATGGATAATTAGTGTCCAAATCATTCCTCCTCTTATGTTTTGCTATTACAGAAAACTGCTGCACAAATATCCTTGCATGTACTCTACATACAATGAGTTTAGCAGGTTATCTATGAAGATCCCTGGCCGCTCTGGGGAAAAGGGAGTAAGGCCCAAGACAGGGTGGTTTGCTGGTGGGGGTGAAGGTGGTTGGGGAGGGCAGGTAGCACAATGGAAAGAGGAAGCCTGGGGCAGGGGAGAGGACAAGATTGAAGAGAAAGCCTGAGGAGCAGATGCTGAGCAGACAGACAGCAGAGGAGGTAGAAGAAAAGGCTGTATAAAAGTTCCAATGAATAGGTCATAGCCAAGGGTCTTGGCTGGGGGCTCTTGGGACTGAGCTGGACAAGCTAGATCATCACCCTATCCAAGAAACTAAAACAAGCTTTGGAGGCAAATACTGAGCAGGGTAAAGTGCTTAAAGAACAATTAAAGATTAATGAACTGTTTCTCCATCTTGGCTGCACAGCAGACTTACCTGGACAATTAAACACCCCACCTCCCCCCCCCCCCACATACCCCTTGTCTCTAAATCCTATTCCTCGATTGATTCAACTGGTCTGGCGTACAGCCTGGGTATGCGTAGGTTTAAGTTTCCCCAGGTGAAACGAACCATAGCAAAGTGTGAAAAGCACTGCTGTAGCAGAGGTGGGGGCTTAGAGGAGGAAGGGATAAGGAAGGATTTGACCAAGTGGAGGTATGGAGAGGGGAGGCCACCAGGTGAATGGTGGAACATTCTAGGGTGTTCCCAGTGAGTGAAGAGCTTTCTGGGAAAAATTGTAGGGGGTAATCTCATCATTATGGTGGGTCTTCCAATGTCAGGCTGAGGAGTGCTGGCCTGATTTGGGGGGGTGACATAGTTCCTGGAGCACTGGATGAAAGTGGTGGCTAAAAGCTCAGGTGATTGGCAACAGGTCAGGCACAGGGCAGCTGAAGAGAGGAGTAGACCCAGCAAGCAGAATAGCATGGGACAAGGACATTAGAGTGAGGGGAACAGATGGGACAGTCTCAGGCCCACCTTGGGTTGGGCTTGGCATGTCCACTGGCACATAGGGATGGCCAAGTTCACATCAGGAAACTTTTGCTTCAACTCTATGGAGGACAGCCTCTTCACTCCCCACCCACGCTTCTCAGCCTACTCAAATAATTAAGTCCACCTGGGAGCTTAGGGTTTGACAATGTTTGAGGTGGCATTCTATAATAAATTATGCTTTCAGAATGACTCAGAGGCATGGTGTCTATCACCCACACTTAAGCTGTGAGCCCCAGGAGGACAGGAACTTATCTTTGCATTCTCAAAGTCTAGCTCATTCCTGAGGGGAAAAACACCCGGATATTCTGTTAGCGAAGGAATGAAAGAATACATGAACAAATCATCTCAGGAAAAGCTCTTAGTCTAGGAGTATAGCTTAGAGAGGTGGCTCCTAGTGGGACATGAGGCAGAAGTGCCAGGGCAGAAGGCAGCATTCTGTGCCATGGCTCCAGGGAAAGCTTGGCTGCCCATTTCACTTTATTGGCTAAGGTCTGCTCTAAATAGACCCATGCATGTTGGCACCTGGCCACACTTAGCAAGCATCTCCAAGACAGATGGCTGAGATGACTGCCTCATTTCTGTCATTGAGAGTAAGAGGAGGGTCAGACTCCCTCAGGAGGAGCCTCTCTTAGCCTTTTAATGAACATTTCTACCAAGTTTAACTTTCTACATTTTTAGCTTTAAAGAGCACTTTTTTTTGAAATAAGAATCAAACTGAACTGCCATAAAGACAAAGATGTAGGCTGTGGATGTCACTCAGTGGTAGAATTTGCCTGGCATGCATGAGGCTTTGGGTTTGATCCCCAGCCCCACAACAAAATAAAACAAGACAAAAAATCATGCACCACATATAAGGTCACTTGCTGAAAAAGGAACCTCATGTTATACTTCCACAGACCACAAACTGCAACATAATTCTGCTTTCTGACAGTAAAGGGGACAAACTCTTCAATGCTGTCACATAACTTTTCAGTGGCCCAGAGCATGCTCCTCATGACTGCGGCCATGGCAGCTGTGATTAAGGTAGAATTTCCATGACTAACTCATTGTGGTGCGAAGAAAATGTCCCAATTTTCATGGCGGGTTTTGAAATGAATCAAGTTGAAACTTGATATAAGCTTTCTCAGCCTAGCTGGGAATTTTTCCTCCTAATAGAAAATGGTTTTAATGCCCATAAACTAGTCCAAAACTATTAAACTGGCAAGTGCTGGGGCATTTTTTAAAAGTTTCATAAGGATGAGAGGCTCTTGGCTCTTGTGACAGTTGGAAGAAAACCCCTCTACAGACATATGGGGATAATTGATGTTGGACATGATAGAATCAACTTGGAAAAGGCCCTTGACTCTTCATGGCACAAAGAATTGCCCATTTTCCAGGAACTTCAGTCACGCCCTATTTAGTTCAATTAGAAAATGTAGCCTCATTTTCCATGGATGGGAGGAATGGTACTAGTGACCACAGGTGACCCAGAGTATATCCACTGAAAACTCAGAGGAGGAACAGTCAAAAGTCTGAGACAAGTCAGCTGTCACCAATGGAACTGTTTGGGAGCTCTTAAACGGCCCTGTTGATTCATTATAGCTCACAGCTCTGGACTTGAAAAGGAGCCCTTGGACGGAAGTTTGTTACATTTGAAGCCTGGCAACATCACTACCTCCCAATAATTCTGGAAGCCATTCTTTGTTCTCCATATCCCTGTCTTAGATCGTTAAAGCTGCCCAAATTTCTTGCCTGGAACCACTGTAATACATTTCTCACTTTAAGCCCCTCACCACTCCATGTACTGCCACCAGAGAGAGATGTATGAAGTGCCTGAGTATGTCTAACTAACTCCTTCTGAGCCACAGAGGCTGAGCACAACTCAGACCTCTTCCAAGAAGCCAAACTGCACCCTAAGGCCTGGAATGAGTGCTTCCCAACTTACCCATCAGTCTGATCTCAGCATTTAGTGCCCTTATTGATTTATCCGACTCCTTCACCAGCCAGGAAATAAACTGTAACTTTCATCTCTGTTTTCCCAGGCCTAATATCATTCCTAGCTTGTGGCAAGTGTTCAATAGTTGATTATTGAATAAATTAGCAAACAGCTGTTCTGGGCTTCAATTTTTTTCCACCATGAAACAATAAGAATTACCTGAGCCATCAGTTTCATAAGGTTATTCTCTTTATGAATGAGAGATTATGTGAAAACCCTTTCAAATCATCCAGGTAGAATTTTGTTTTCAGACCCCACTAATGGAGTTGTGGGATTTGAGAACATGGATCTAAGAGCAAAGCTAGGAATCCTCCTACCTCCTTTTTTTTTTTTTTTTAAGATTTAAAATGAGAAAACCCTAAACCCACAGGACTGCAAGGTCTTTTTCTTCAATGAAGCAGCATCATAAGGCATTCTGGATAGCAGAAAGAAATCTCACCATGTACATCAGTCATTTGACTAATGTGGAAATCTGTATAGACCACAAAGATGGGCCCATTACTAGGGCTTAAATGAATAACTATGCTAGTTGAGTCACCAACAGGAAAATTAGCAATGATTAGAGTCTACAGGAAAATAGACCATCCAAAATATTTAGGGATAGTGCAGATTAGCTGTTGCATTGGTATTTATGATCCAAATATGAAGTCTGCAGGACATAAGCCGCCAAGAGTAAACAAGTTTTGAAACCCCACATGCCAGTCACCCCATTACTCCCTGCTTCACACATACACATGCCTATTTCATCCTCACAAAAACCCATGCTGTGTGGGCACTACTCTATTCCATGAAGGGAGAGATGGAAGGTCAGGGGTTAGAAAACTCACTTAAGGATGCTGCCAGAAAATGACAGGGCCCCTACATACAGATTCAAGTCATGGGATCCCTTCTACTACAAAACACTAGACAGATGGCAGGATTTCTGCACTATTCATTCAACTGTGAATTCTGAGAATTGTTTCTACAACAATAATTGTCTTTTGTGGGAAAAAAACCACTCTGTACTCTAATAACAAACTTGGCTTTTTCTCTATTTTATATAAATATGTTTTGAAATGGGCAGAAAGGGGGACTGGCTTCTTTGAGGAAATTTCTGGCAAGAAATGAAAGTTACCAGGCAAGTTAAGGGGAACTGAATGGCTATTTGGTACACATTACTCAAGAAGTCAAAGGTTTAATGTTTTCTCTGATATGTGGAAACTAATCCAAAATAAGGGGGGTTGTTTAAAGAAAACAGAAGAAGAATCAGTGGAATAGATGAAGGGGAATGAAGGGAAGGGAGGAAGGATGGGATAAGGAAAGATAGCACAATGAATCTGACCTAACTTTCCTATGAACATATATGAACAAACCCCAGTGAATTTCACAATTATGTATATTCACAAGACACTAATTAAAAAAAAAAAAAACTAAAAATAGCAGAAAGATCAGTAGAGTAGAGGGAAGGGTACAGGGGAGGGAACACAGAGAGGGAAAGGGAAAGTACTGGAGACTGAATTAGAGCAAATTATATTCCATGCTTTTATAATTATATCAAAATGAATCCTAATGTTATATATAACTAAAAAGAACCAATAGAAATTTAAAAAAAAAAGAATAAGAGAGGGAGATATCTGGTTTATTTACTCATTATTTCAAACTTTTATTAAGTATTTACTTCATGCTGGGCAAAGTGAATAGTTTTGAGAATGACAGTATAATTGCTCTCTATTAGTGCTTCCCAACAGAATTTGTAGTCATGATGGAAGTCCTCTTTATCTGTACTATCCAATATGGTAGCCACTAGCCCCACATAACTACTGAGCAGATGGGCAAGTACAACTATTTAAATTAAATTTAAATAGTCACGTGTGGCAACAAAGATCTATATTATAACCTTGCATTTTGCTATTTCTTCTCATTTACACTCAGTTCATTCATTTAGTGCATATTTACTGAGCATATACTATCAGCCAGGCACTGGACGAGGCATATGGAGATACAGGGATAGAACAAATAGCTATGGTACCTGCCCACATATAGTTTATAACCCTTTGAGACACACTTTTATATGTACAATTACAAATTCTGCTAGTTATCATGAAAGAAAGATAAAAGATAAAATTATAAATGACAGCACAGGAACCTAATAAGGGTCAGGGAAGGGGGTCACATCTTACTGAGGAGAGGGAGTGATTTTCTTGACTGATGACAAGTAATGTTAAGTGGGAAAAAGTGGGTTTCCACATTTGCATTCCTTTAAAATTGCTCACTACATGCCCAAATTTGCTATGCAAAACATTTTAATAAATTATACACTTCTTTATTGGAAATAATTGTTGCACTATTAATCACAGGTATGTAAATGGACACAACCTTTCTGTAATGCCATTTAGCAATACCTATCACAAAATGTAAATACATACGCCTCCAGATACATCAATACTATTTCTAGAAGTTAATCCACAGAAATGTTTGTGTAAGCATAAAATGGTATATTTCTGAGGCCAGTGGTTTTCAGACTATTTTGCCTTGTGTACTTCCTAAAATAATTGTGAAAACCCATGAATATCCCCTCATACATCTTAAATTGACATCTAAAATTTTACATAAATTTGAGTTACAAAAGATGTAATTTTTGCAGTATGCTAAATGTTGGTATTTCAAAATATAATTTATGCTGCTTGCTTAAATGTATTCATTCAATATATTTTTGAATAACAGCAATTTACCACTATTATCCATTTAAAAATATTATAAGATCTTAACAGTTGGAAATTTTACATCATTCCTTTTCCTCCCTGAATTCATATTTTCCACCATCTGGTCCTGAATTTTATTCTAATACAATGTGCTTTTAAATCTTTTGTTAATAATGTTATCTTTTTCTGATATAAAAACATGTATACAAATTAAAATTTATGATTTTTTTCTTTTCTGAAATCATCAGGCTGTAAGTATAAAAATATTTTTTTCTTCTGGACTGAGTTATTAAAATTATTAGCATAAAACAATCAAAACATATGCATGTATATGTACCATGCATCTTTATACATAATTTTTAAGCATGGAAAAATAGAATTTTATTGGGCTTTTTTTCTCCCAAATACTTCATGTGGATGATTATTACTTAATATCAGAATGAAATGGCTTTGTGTTGACTGCGTTCTTCATTTTAGAGATATAAGCACCAAGAAACTTGTTCACATAAACAGAATTAGATGGGACAGGAAGAATTTTGTTATTACAATATCACTCAGTTCTCTGACCTCATGAATTATATACTCAAATTCAGTGATCCTGCATCATCAAGAATTATTTTTAACAACGTATTAACAAACAATTCAGTGGGTACCTCCTCCAAATTCATTGGAAGTAAAGAATTAGAAACCAACAGAACTTACAGAGTAACGATTCAAATCCAAGCATACCTGTCTGAGACTGCTTGATTTATCTGACATATCTCATGCCCTTTTTGATGACTCGGAACTATGTCACCTCTCTATCAAGGTTTGCTCTAGTTACTCAAACTTAGGATAGTCAACATCCTATCCTTTTACATTTCTCAGTAAGAATTTGCATTTTAAAAAATCAAAATAATTTTTAAAAAGGATGAATAACTTAAAAATCTATAAAAAGTTGTGCTCATACTCCTTAACAGTTACCTGCACTTCAATAGGGCCAGCAAAATTCTTATAAGGAAAACTCAGTAAGCCAAAGAAAACCCTCAATTAGACCTTAGATAGGGGCACATTATCAATTCTAGATCAAGAAACTAACACAGAGATGGGCACAGTGGTGCATGCCTGTAATCCCAGCGACTCTGGAGACTAAGGCAGGAGGATCCCAAGTTCAAGCCTCAGCAACAGTGGGGTACTAAGCAATTCAGTGAGACCCTGTCTCTAAGTAAAATACAAAATAGGGCTGGGGATACGGCTTAATGGGTAAGCATTCCCCAGTACCAAAAAAAAAAAGGAAGGGAGGGAGGGGGAAATTAACATGGAAACTGAGCAGCTCAGAGACAAATGAAAGAACAAACTACATAATTTTAAAGAGGATTCACAGGCTACTAAGAGAATAGTTTCCTCAACGTTCAAAAAAGTCAGCTAAAAGAAATGGGAATCAGGAGCTGGGGTTGTGGCTCAATGGTAGAGCGCTTGCCTGGCATGTGTGAGGCACTGGGTTTGATTCTCAGCACCACATAAAAATAAATAAACAAAGTAAAAGCCCATTTAAAAAAAATAAAGGAATCCCTTAAAAAAAAACAAAGAAGTGGGAATCATAGAAACATGGATTGTGAGGCTGGAGGGGGGCCCCTTACAGTCATTTCATTCAAGCCCTTGGTTGAAAGACGAAAACCCAAGGGCTGGGGGTATAGCTCAATGGTAGAGCACTTGCCCCTGGGACCCATATCAGTATCACAAACAGACAAACAGAAAAGGCATAAAATAAAAGAGACAGAAACAAACCCAAGACCCAGAGAGATGCAATGGTGTGCCAGATGGCCTGCTTCAGCAGGGCAAGCAGCCTCAACCAAGAGTGTGTTTGCTTTTTGGACAGCAAGATGTATGTGTCATTTCATCTTATTTAATAGCACTTACTTAGACAAAAGAGAAACAGACACTCATAACACGAAATGTTAATGCATATGTGAAATAGTAATATCCTAACATTCAAAACTACATGGAAGCCAAAATTATGCTGACTACAAAACTTTAGGAAGAAGGAGCTACTGTCCTGAGGCCCAGAGCTCTTCTTACTCCACTGGGAGGTACAGGAGCAGAGCCTCATCAACTTCTTGGAGAGACTGGAAGGATCCCATCCCCAGCCTTGGTAACTAAATGAGCTGCTCCTCATCTGTAAAACTTGCGAGAAAAAAGATGACTGGGGTAAAAAGTATTTCAAGTGCTCTTAAAAATCTAATAATTCGTGGGTTGGGGTTGTAGCTCAGCAGTAGAGTGCTTGCCTAGCATGTGCGAGGCCCTGGGTTCAATTCTCAACACTGCAAATAAATAAATAAATAAAATAAAGGTATTGTGTCCATCTACAACTTACAACAACCACCACCAACAAAAAATAATGTTGTGTGACTGATTTAACTTTGTATGTGTGTATGTGTGTGTTTGTGTGGTGGGTTCTGGGGATGGAACACAGGACTTCACAAACGCTAGGCAAGTACTCTATTACTGAGGCACCTCCAACCCCTCCATGACTGATTTTTACAAAATTACAAGCAATTCTCTCTCTCTCTCTCTCCCTCTCTCTCTCTGTGCCCCTCCCTTCTCACTCTCATATATATTGAGCTGCTAATGGTATGAGTTTTCACCTGAGTTATACTTCAATATCTGACTCCCTCTGGTGCCTTCCAATTGCCCCACATGTCTTCTCTCCCCTATCTTTCACCTTTGTACACGTGAGCTGGACCTGTGGTTTTCAAACACCAGCCCAAGAACTGATGTGTCTATGCTAAAGTTGTCTCCAGTCCATAAAGCACTGAGAAAAAGGTCAGTATGGTGAGTTTCCCATTAAGCTTAATCTATTCAATTTTTAAACTTGGAGATTATATCCTTTCTAATAATAGGAGATAACATTTTTCAAATGTGCTTAAATTATAATAAAAATTGGCAATCCCTTCCAATTTTCAGCCTTTTTGTAAATGATCCGTGAAATTCCAAAGAGCACAAACTGTCAGGGAGAGAGGACTCAGGCCTGGGGAGGTGAAGAGAGTATCACCACAGGTTACTGCAAAGGTATGTAATAGGCTTCTTTTGGTTCCAAATCAGGGCACCCTGTTAACCTCCAACTCAGCCTGTCACCACCAGATCCAATTACCTTTTAATGGCGCCCACCAACCTCACTCCCCAACTGCTAATCACTTTTCTTATTTCATGAATCAAAGTTAGCAGCCTGCTAAGCTTGGCCAAGGTTTCCAGATCATACCTTAACAAGAGTCCATGGCAAGAGAAGGATTTTGGCAATTTACTTCATTAAGTGATAATAATAAAATAACATGCTTAATAAATTATAGTTTGTCCATATGGTTTTAGTTTGTCAAAGAGGTATGTGAGAATGATTTTCTGGCAGGTTGTGTATCTCTGTATATCTACAAGTAAAACAAAAGCCAGAGCTGGGCTCTGCCAATCCACGAGCCCACAGCTAGTGGGCGGAGAGTGGGGAGCATCCCAAGTCAAATAAATGCCATGTGCAATCTGAGAAATGACTGTCACTTGTTCCCATCTTGCTTTCACATTCACTTGCAACTCACAGGCTTCTGTGGAGTACATGGTGGATATAGAGAAGGCTACTATATAAGTCTCTTTGTTGTATACTAGTCTTCAGATTTGTACCCAAAAAAGGCTGAAAAGCATCTCAGCACATAGCAAAGGTAGAAGCACTCAAGCCATTGGGATGGGTAAAGATTGTGAAGGTCCTATTCACAGAGAGGCAGATGACCAAAATACAAGGGGAATATACATCATCTTGGCACACAAGTGAGCTTTTCTGGGGCTGGCTGCAAGTCCACATGGCTACTAGGCACTATATAATTTATTAAGTATACTATTTTATTATTATCACTTTATGAAGCAAATTGTCAAAATCCTCTTCTAGCCATATTAAGGCATGATCTAGAAACTTTAGACAAGGTTAGAGGCCTGCTAACTTTGGTTCATCAGACAAGAGCCATCTTAACTGATGCTCCCCACACCTCATGTATCCCTCCACCCCTCCCCAGATGATTATACTCCTCATTATAGGCTAACAGGTGGAGGTGGCTTGGGTAGGATGCACTGTTCATACTCTCGTGTTTTAGAATAATTCACACCACCAAATATATCACTCTAATGAGGTTAGGCAACATTTGTTATGGTCTCCCCACTATGATTTGTTTGACCTCTCCCTGTGTTTCTATAGTCTTCATGAGACATTTCTTACTGGCATAACCAATGTTTATTGCTTTTATACTCATCTGATATGATGGGATAAAAGATGTTTATGGAACCCCCCATAACTAAGCACAGTCCCCAAGATGGACTACTAAGACCAAGACTGCCCTGTTGGGGGTATACAGGTGGAGTGAGTTCCTGGATTCTGATGAAAACCAACATCTCTGACTGTAAAGGTCTGTAAGTGGAGATGCTCAGTTTGTATCCAGGATCAAGCCCTTTATTTTTATTTATTTACTTTTTAGTACCAGGGATTGAACTCAGAGGTGCTTAACCACTGAGCCATGTTACCAGCCCCTTTTATATTTTATTTAGAAACAGGGTCTCGCTGATTTGCTTAGTGCCTTACTAAATTGCCAAGGCTGGCTTTGAACGCATGATCCTCCTGCCTCAGCCTTCCAAACTGCTGGGATTACAAGTGTGTGCCACCATGAGGGCTGAATTGGGCCCCTTAAAGAACCCAGAAAGATGAGGCTTCCACATGGGCCCATTTCCTGTATGATTGAAAGATACCTTTTGAAATGAGTGTTGGTGACCAGCTTGATCTGTTTAATTACTTAGGGGAATACCTACAATGACACCCCTGAGGGGTGGGAACCAAGGAAGGCTCAAGGTACGGCTGGGAGCGGGTCAGGCCCAGCAGCTCTTTTGAATTAAGTCAGTCTCCATAGGCATCAAGAGGAAACAAAAATGTGCGGGTTAGCAAGCAATCAATCAGCAGTGCTGCCTGTTTTGCTTCCATGAAATAGTGCCTGATGCTCAACACGATCTCTTTTCTTTTCGCCACATTAGAGAAATGCAGAGTGCTTCTCAAATATTGCTGATGGAAATTTAAGTTTGATTGTGACTTATGTCCCTTAATAGGAGATAGAACTGCATATATCCACACATGCACACCCCACACTGTCACATGCAGACTTGTACAACAGCAGCAAATGCATCTGCCATTTCTTGGCTTGGGTAATGCTAACCACATCTTTGGTCCCAAAGGCCATGTTTGGATGTAACTGGAAAGGAAACAGTTTCTGTAAAAGCGAGCCGTGACTGCATCTCAAATATAAGTTCTCCTGTCTGAGTAATTATCCCCAAGAAAGCAGGGAGGTGTTCACACACATGCTTAGCCAGTAGTCTATCTGAAACTCTGCACATGCCACTCATGGGGTTCTTTACATCAGGTTACATTATGTTCTACAAAATCTGAGAAATTGCTCAACAACCTGAAATGCTGCAAAGATCAATAACTGGCTGTCTAGCTCCAAAAGGAGAAGTTTAATATAAACTTTTCTAATGTAATATTATTATATAAGCAGGGCAGAAAAACCAACAATCCAAATCAGGGGATCTAAGACATTGCTCAAAATCTTCCCAAGAAACCCTAGAGATGATTTCTTATAGTAAAAGGTAGAAATTGCACAATAAGAATTTAACCCCCCTATTTTTGCAGATTTGGTATCATGGTAACAAAAATTTTCTGTTAATGGTCACAATTAAATTGCTTTATATATGTCCTGTAGAGCTTTACTATAGAGAATATAGATTTAGAATATAGCATTGGTGACATTTTATTTTTTGTTCTTTTACATCCACTTAAACACCAGCTATCGAACCATTGGAGAATATGTAACCTCAAATACAATGCTCTGTATGGAAACCAAGTTCAAATCCTATCACTGGCTTGGTGCGTGGCCTACACCTGTAATCCCAGCGGCTCGGGAGGCTGATGCATGATCTTGAGTTCAAAGCTAGCCTCAGTAGTAAAAGCGAGGTGCTAAGCAACTCAGTGAGACCCTGTCTCTAAATAAAATACAAATTAGGGCTGGGGATATGACTCAGTGGTTGAGTGTCCCCGAGTTCAATCCCTGGTATCCCTCCAAAAAAATCATATTGCTGTTTCTAGGGCAAGTAACTTGCCACAAGCTTGCGGAAGAGCTCTCTCTCCAAGGTCATGGCTTTGTCCTTGGTTGAGTGAATTACTTGTTTAAGTGAATTACTTCAAATATATTTACTCTTTTGTACATTAAATCACTAGTTTCCAAAAGCTCTGAAATTATTTTCAAAGTAGGTTTTATACAGATTCTCAGGAAATCGTACAGTCAACTCCAGGGAACACAAGGCTGTACTTGGAGTGTGTGTGTGTGTGTGTGTGTGTGTGTGTGTGTGTGGGTGGGGGGGGGGACAGCTCAGATAGTCCTAATTTACCATCAGCTTCTTGACACAGACCAGGATTTCTTGATCTCTGTGCTATCCATATTTGGGGCAGGGTCATTCTTTGTTGCTTATGGGGTTGCCCTGTGCACTGTAAGATGTTTAGTAGTGTTCCTGTCCTCTACCTACTACAAACCAGTAGCCATCCCTACCCCCATGATATAATAACCAAAAATGTCGCAAAATATCCCTTTTAAGGGAGCAGTTGAGAACTGCTGATATAGATTAACCTCTTGCACTGAAGTTTGGACCTAGGTTCAACCCCCCAACTCTGCTTCTTACTAGCTGGTTAACCTTGCCCAAGTTACCTGGCTTTCTTTATTCCTGCACATTTACTCCGAAAACACAAGTCATTATACCACTCCCTCACAGGGCTGTGGTGAATGAGAGAAATGTGCCAAACATCTTTCCTTCCTCTTGCTTGTTCCACTGCATTAATTCAACACTAGAAAATATGAAGGCTGGGAGAGGGGAAACAAAAACAGAGGATCTTCTCTCTATTGCTCTGGAGCAATGATTCTAGTGCCAGGCTATCAGACACATAGCTACATCCCTCAGAGGCAACCATCTATAGCTGTACCTCAAAGGGGACTCAAAGATTTTAAAGGCATGCTCTTCCCCCTAATATGTTTAGAAAACACCCAGAAGGTTTTAGGAAAACCTTCTGAACACTGGGATTGTTCTGTCACCACAGCTGTAATCAGCTACATATCAACATCCAGGTGGGCTTCCATTTAAGAAAACCATGTAAAGTAATACACAAAGCTCTAGGGACTTATTTTCATCCTCAAATGATTCCTCTACAGGTTTTTGAAGAGCTTTCTTAACATATGTAAAATATAATTCTATGTATAAAGAACTGGTTTACACACAACTCAGAAACACCAATATAGCAGCTATTAGTCACAAATATGTTTGTGAAGTGGGGCAGAAGCACCCTTTTTTTAAAAAATAATAAACATGGCTTTATTTGTATCAGAACTTTTAAAATGTGAATATTCTGTGATTCAGCCACAGTCTTTACTTCCAGGTAACTTCTTCACTGAGCCTCAATTCCCTTCTACACAACATACTCTTGTTGCGGAAGGTAGACAGTTTTTCATCATTCTTTCTGTCTAAATAACATCCAACAACAAATCCCACAGGGACGAGTACATGAACCCAGTGGTCACGCACAATCTGAAGTAAGTTCACCATGACTGCTGCGGCCCTGGAGCCAACAAACGACACCAAAGATCAAGGGCAGAAGCAGCCCAGAAGGATCCTTTTAACCCCATACATACAGATGAATGCTGTCTATTTATTTATTTATTTACATTGGGACCTTAATGTGTTAGGAAAATTTTAATGTTCCCTTTTTTCTTTTTAACAGTTTTACTGAGGTATAATTTATACCATAAAATTCACTCATCTTAAGTTAATATTTTTTAGTAAATTTATAGTTGTGCAATCATCACCACAATCTGATTTTAGAACCTTTACAATTGATTCCCAAATCAAGTGGCTATTAAAAGAATTCCGGGCTGGGGTTGTGGCTCAAGTGGTAGAGCGCTCGCCTAGCACGTGTGAGGCACTGGGTTCGACCCTCAGCACCACATAAAAATAAAAGCTATTGTATCCACCTAAAAAACTAAAAAATAAATATTTAAAAAATAATGATTCCTAGGGCATAAATACTTTTACACTTCCTGGTCCAAATGAACCACAGTCCCTAGGCATCCTTAAGAGATCTGAGGATAAGTTGCAGTTAGCCTTCATATCTTCTGAACCACATTCATGGCCCAAGTCTAACTTTTAAGGTAGCAACTCTTGGCCCCTAAATTGACTATGGTATAAACTGTGCTCTGTGAGTCAAGTTGAAGGCGAAGGGGAAACCTTCACCTTCCTCATAGAGGGGGTAGTGTCGACATAAAGAGATAGAAATGGGGCCAGGCATGGTGGCTCATGTGGCTGGAGCAATGATTCCAGTGCCAGGCTATCAGACACATAGCTACATCCCTCAGAGGCAGGAGGATTGTGAGTTCAAAGCCAGCCTCAGCAATTTAGTAAGGCCCTAAGTAACTCAGTGAGACCCTGTCTGTAAATAAGGAGGAATGAGAAGGACTTTCTCCAAGTCAATTAGTTGAAACTAGGTGGCTTACTTCACAGGCTGCTTCCCATCTGGAGGCCTGTTGCTATGTGTTCTAGAAGGAAAGGAATTGAAAATCTCTCTGTAGTATTGAAGTATAACAATAAATCCTGCCATGTGGTGGGAACTACAATATATGGCATAATAAAAGTAAATGTTATGGCACTTGACTCTGTGGCCTATAATCTCTCATTCAATCAGAACAGAGATTCTTCTATCAGCAAGAGAAAACTGGACAATTTAATTTTCTTTTCTATTCATGCACAGGCCTATGTTGGAGCTCTTCCATGTTTTCTATTATGTTACTTGAAATATGGCCGTGTAGTTTGATACAAACAATATCTCAAACTGACATCAACAACTTAGTTTTGGACCAATTGATTTCATTCTAAATTATTGCTGGCTGACAGATGCTGGTAGCTACCCACATGAGATCTGAAAAAGCCATGTTCTCTAATTTAATATTACAATAATTTTAAATTTCAGCTTTATTAAGAGGAAACACAGATTTATTTATAGCTAACACTGACGGTTTCCAATGACTTTCAGGACTATATTATGCTATTCACTGCAACCCACATTTGGACAGCTTCAATTGTCCAAAGCACTAACAAAACATTCGGGTACAAATAACTTCCTCCTTGATTCAAAGCAATGAACAAATGCTACAAAAGCAGCCCAAGAGAGCCACCCCCTCTGCAGTGCCCTTTTCTCCTTGGTGGATCTACCTACAAAGAACATTTCTGCTGCTGAGCCTAAAGACATTCTGCTTAAAATCTGCTCCTCCTCTGGTCTCTGAGATGTTGCAAAATCTCACTTTTTTCCCTTAAAAATGGACTTTGCTAGGGTTTGATCTTGAGCCCTAAATTCATCTTCCCTTTTTATTCTTTCTTTCTTTTTTTTTTTTGTACCAGGGATTGAACCTAGGGGTGCTTAACCACTGAGCTACATCCCCAGCCCTTTTTATATTTTGTTTTGAGACAGGATCTCGTTAAGTTTCTTAGGGCCTCACTAAATTGCTGAGGTTGGCTTTGAACTCACAATCCTCTTGCCTCAGCCTCCCAAACTACTGGAATTACAGGCGTGCACTGCTATGCACAGCTTCATCACCTCCCCGCCTTTTTTGGGTACCAGGGATTAAACCCAGGGACACTCGACCACTGAGCTACATCCCCTGCCCTATTTTGTATTTTATTTAGAGACAGGTTCTCACTGAGTTGCTTAGTGCCTTGCTATTGCTGAGGCTGGCTTTGAATTCCTCCTGCCTCAGCCTCCCCAGCCGCTAGGATTACAGGCATGTGCCACTGCGCCTGCCTTTATCTTCCCCTTTCCTATGGTAAAGATTATCTTCTTCCTGACCCAGCAGCCACTTCTAAGCAAACAACATTAATAATAAGCATTTCTATTATGTGTTTTTGTTTTTGTTTTTTTTTGGCAGCCCAACAAGTGATTTGCAGAATTCTGGAAGACAAGACAGACACAGGTAAGGAAGTAGAAGCTCAGAGAATCTGTAAATTAGAGAAGGGCATCTAGCCTGGAAATTGAAGAGTCAGTACTCAAACCCAGGTCTGCAGATGCCAATTCTGTAATGTTTGCTCCTGCCACAGCTTCCAGGGAACTCCTAATCTCTATCTGCAATCCCTGCCAGTCTTTAGAGCCCCAGACCTCTATTTTCAGACTCCGCCCAGCACTGATATGGGGATCTGTCCAAATCTCAAAGTAAACATGCTTAACTAAATCCATCAATTAAATGCCCCCTCCCAAACCAGCTCCTTTTGCTGACATGATCATTTCCACTCAGGTCATTGTTACCCCAGTCACTCAACCCTAAAAACCTCACAACTAACCTATCATTCTCTCTTCCTCCCTGCTCCCACATCCAAGTTGTTATTAAGGTCTAGCAATAATTCTCCTGTATTGCTGCTTTTACATCCTTTCTTTTGTCCCCAATCCTTTTGTGAGCAGCTTAATCTTGGCTTTATCTCTCACCTCAACTATCAAATAACCTGACTCCCTGACACCTACCTTTCTTTCCTCTAATTGGTCCCGCAAAGCTCTCTATCCTAATTTTTAGATGTGATCATGTCACTTCAGTGTCAACCATCAATGGCTCCCACTACAAAATAAACCACAAATCTATCCCCTATAAACACTATCTGGCTCCCACTTATATTTCCAGGTCAACTCTCCTCCTTCCCAGGACAAACACTACTGCAGCCAGGCTGGTTTACACATAACTGTCAACACTTCCCATGTGACTTCCCTGCCCACCTTCTCCCCTGCCTAATAAAAATCCAACTTCAAGGAATGGATAAGTCCATCCTCTTTTATGGAGCCTATCCTAGCACACCAGTCCTGGGGAACATGCTTTCTTTTGATCAGTGTTACTTTCTACCACCCAGTCATCATTTGCTGCTTTAAGGGCTCAAGTAGATCTAATGCCAATAGAAGGCAGGGTCTATGTGAGAGCCTCAGTACCCAGGCAGCCTTGCATTTAAGTAGGAGGTACTCAAGTATTTATTGGTTGATTATATAGTTGCCAATTATCATTCTGTGTGATGCAAATAATATATATACATTAAGTGGTTAATTTGAGGTATTATAGTCTTTGGGAACTAATGTTTTCTTGGCAAAAATGAAAGAACCAAACTTCAGCATCATTTTTCTGAGTTCCCAAATACATACATCTGGTGCTTAGTTTTCACAATATGAAAAGCTTCTATAGACTTACCCTTCCCACATCAATACCTCCAACATTTCCAAACTAGCTGGTTAGACTGGAAAATATACTATTCATATTTGGACGTTAGCCTTGTTAGGTATCTCCAAACCCAAAGAAAACAAAGGTCAATGCTCCTCACAAGCAAGACATATGGCTCTGTATACTCTGGAGGTAGAATACCTCCCTTGTTGTGTTACGCCCCACCTGACCTTCACCAATGCCCCACCTGACCTTCCAGCATCATCTGTTTTGGCCACTCAACATTTAGAAACAGTTCAGCAGTTGGCTGAACTTTGCCCACCAGTCACTCTGGAGCCCAAACACTGACCCCAGTGGTAGAAATGGAACTTAATTTGGCTCACTTTGATGATTCTCTTTCATTCACAGATGATTGCTGCTCTGCTTTTCCCTGTCTTTTCACCAGATCAAATGCTACAGCAGGCTAGAGTTCCTGCTGTTATTGCATTAGCCCAAGCTGTAAGGTTTTGCTGTCTGACTGGGCTTCTCAAAGGCTGGCTGAGGATGTAAACCAGCTTTTGGAAACAGGGCAAGTACTTTTGGTATTTACAGTCGTGACCACACATCTGCCCGCAAGCCTTCAAGAGGTCAGGCCAGAGACTGCAGGTCAGCAGTTTGCAAAGATGCAATTCTACTAGCAGATTCATAAGAAAACAGCACCCAAACAGGGGATGAAAACCAGGCAAGAAGAACATTCACGTCAAGCATTCTAGTGCTCTTATAAGGCCTGCCAACTGGTGAACTGTTTCTAAATGTTGAGTGGCCAACACAGATGATGCTGGAAATGTATATTCCATGAAATGAAAAATCAATCCCTGATAGTGACTGCCAGAGGCTGGGGGTGGGGTGTGTGCAGGAGGGAGGTGGGTGTGGCCAGAAAAGAGCAATGTGAGGAATCCCAGCGGTGATACACTAAGCTACACATATGAAAAAAACTGCGGCAAACTCAACACACACACAGTTATTAGCAAAACAGGGCAATCTGAGTAAAATTGGCAGATTGCATCAACATCAATGACCTGTTGCAATATTATGCTATAGTTCTGGAAGAAATTACAATGCAGAGGTGGGACTGGGTAAAGGGAATACAGAGCTCTACCATTTCTTACATGTCTGAATCTATAATTACCTCACAATATAAAGTCAAATTAAAATAAGATAAAGTTCAAAATGTAGCCCTCTACAATATACTGAATATGAAAGAATGCTGACTTATGACCACAGTAGGTACAAATAAAAGATGTAAAGCTAAAAAAGTTTGATCCCTGAATCTGGATTTCCTAACAGAGCTATCATTCCGGTGAGACCACTAAGAGCCTCATATCTACCCAAGGATACCCCCAAATGAACCGCTGACTTATGTTTACCCAGAGAGATTTTAACCCCCTTCCTGTTAATCACATGGTAGTATCTTGTCCTTGAGAAAACTCAGTAGTATAGGACACTAACTGGCAATTACCATACCAAAGCTCATTTTAAACTCAGAGTCCAAATACTTAGTGCTGGATCTACAATGATCTCTGCCATTTTGTATTTGTACCCATTCAGTCTATGCTAAATATACATATCACTGGAAAAATGTGCTCATGCCCACTTTCACAAAAAGGTTTATTCATCATTTCTTTTCATTAGACTTTGCAAGGAGTTTCTGCTAAGGCCAGAAAGGGTAAAAATCCTAGGTACTCTGTTTTCATGCAGAAGGTACCATCCCTTCCCTTCTTTACAAAACTGTGACATCTAAAGCCAAGCAAGGGCTGGCAGCCTGGCATTTCAATTATCATGTTAGTTCTCATCACACTGCTTGAAGGGGGAAACAAGGATCTGTAATTCCTTTCCAACTCTGGAATGAAAGCAGAACAATGTCTTTACTCACCAATGTCATTGTTGCGATCCGAGAGATCCTTGTCCAGGATGCTGGCTAGCGTACTGCCCGTCAATTCAATCTTTGGACCGTCACCCCTACGTTAAAAACACAAGTCCAGACATTTAATAATCAGTATGTGTTCTCGTCATTCTGTGAGCTTTCTTGCTGGATACATGTTAAGGAGGGTGCTGTGCACGGGGCAAGTGGCACTGTTGCCTGTGACAGAGCCACAGGGAGCCACTGGGAGCCAATGAGCTGTCCAGCCACATGGGCCGTGGTACAATCTGGGAATGGACTGGATAACCCCCTCTCCTGCACATAGATTCGAAGATGGCTATTTTAATGACTGCTCCCCAATCACCTTCAGCCACAAACCCTCCCTCTGGATACACAGGGTGCAACAGAGGCCCGCTCCCGCCCCATGGCCAAATAAGCACTGGCAAACTGGGAGCTTCCCTTTTAAGGAACATGGAATTTAGCCAATGCTGCTTGTCAAAGGTCAGCTACTTTTAACCTTGAAGAAAAGGTTCTCTGGCCTGGGGCTGAGGCACCAGCCAGGCTGTTGACAGGCACAAGGTGTCGAGTTGAGATCTGGCAGCCTGAAAGCTGGCATCAGGGCATAAGTCTGTAAAATTAGATGGCTCCTGGGTGGGTGCCCCTGTGCCCATCAGGACACGAGTGATTTCCTGTATCTGGGCTGGAAGCAGCGCATGTTTGGGATGGGAACAGGCCTTCAAGACAATGAGAAAGAAACCCAGCTTCCTCATCCACTAGCGCAAGGTTCTTCCAAATTCCTCTAAAAGGGCAGTTCTTTGGCCCTCTCAGGGAAATGAGCCCTGAACAAGATTATCCAAGGGCTGTGATGGCAGTGAAACAGGAAAAGATTCTTGCCCATAAAATGAGAAGGAGAAGCTGAGCAGTTGTTCCCAGGAAAGCAACAGAAATAGTCCATCTCATAGCTCCTGAAGGTCACCATGGCCTGAAGCTCAACTACACAAGGAGGAACAGTCACTCAACAAGTACTTGACAAATACCTATTGTGCTGGGGGTTTGGAGAGGGCCAAGTCAGGTGGTACCTACTCTGGAAAGGAGCATGGTCTAAATGGGAGAGACAGACAAACAACCACAAGCCCATATGGTATAGGCATGCACAACACAGGTATGCCACAGTCCTGAGTTTGTTCAGAGGATCTGTATGGCCCCGGATGGAGGCAAACAGAGACAGCATTATAGCTGGGCCTTGGAGAAAAAGGGAAAGAGGACATATTTGTAAAAGGCATAATTGAGCAGGGACTCAAAGGTAGGTGAGGGTACACCTGTGCCCAGGGGTCCTTAGAAGCAAGAGGAAAAAAGCTGGCAAGGTTGGAGAGGGCCAGGCTGTGCTGAGCCGGGTGTGATAGAGTCTGGTGTGTCTGGTATGTCCTGGTGTATCTGGTGAGTCCTGGAAGTAGTGGGTGGTTGAGGGAAGGCTGCAGCAGAAGACCTGTAAATTTGGAGGGCAAGGAGGTTGTGGGAGTAGGGCTGGGCCCAAGGGCATGGTCTCTACTAAGAGCAATATCACCAGAATACTATTCAATGAGTGTGCACTATGGGACTTACTGGGCCTTTCAGAGCTAGGTTGAAATACAAGTTTAGGCAGAGAATGATCTACTGAACTTGAAAAGGCGAAATAACTTGGGCTCCATAAAAGGACCTTTATTTCTTGCCTCACCCAATTTCCTTTGACTGTGGAGCCCCCCAAAAAGGGTTCTGTTGCAGGCTCTTTCTTCATTCCCCTGGCCACCACAGCTCAGGGCCAATGAATCAAAGAGATCCTGAGCCAACTGAAGGGGTGGGAAGGAGAAATACATTTCAATGCATTTTATTGTCAGGGCTCTGGCATCCAGTAATTTGAAGGTCCAGTCAATCCCCCATATGAGTGTGTTCTGAATCTATGGATTCAACCAATCTAAGACTGTATAACTCAACAGCAATAAAACAAATAATCTGATTTTTAAAATGAATGAATGAACGACCTGAATAGAGATTTCTCAAAAGAGGAATAATGACCAACAGGCTTATGAGGAAAATATTCAGCATCATTAATTGTTAGGGAAATGCAAATCAAAACCATAATAACTCATCCTATCTCAGTTAGAATGGCTATTATCAAAAAGACAAAAAATAAGAAATGCTGGCATGGACATGGAGAAAGAGGAACTGTCATATACTATTGATGGGAATGTAAATTAGTACAGTCACCATGGAAAACAGTATGGAGGTTCCTCAAAAAACTAGAAGTAGAACTATCATATATACAGCCAAGTGGAATGAAACTGCTATGTCAAAGAGACATTTGTATTTGCATGTCTATTGAAACACTATTCATAATAGCCAAGATAGTAATCAACCTTTGTGCCCATTGATGGATGAATACATAAAGTATATGTGGTGTGTACACACACACACACACACACACACACAATGGAGTATTATTCAGTCATAAGAGGAATGAAATTCTGTCTTCCAGCCTGCGAAGGGTGTGGAGGGGGCAGAGGTGGGGAGAGGAGGATTAATAGAGTAAAGGAGTGCAGTTAGATAAGAGGAATTACTTCTAATGTCTTTTTGTGTGTGTGTGATGGGGATTGAACCCAGTGGCACTCAACCACTGAGCCACATCCCCAGCACCCCCACCCCTTTTAAGATACTGGAGATTGAACTCAGGGGCACTCAACCACCGAGCCACATTCCCCAGCCCTGTTTTGGATTTTATTTAGAGACAGGGTCTCACTGAGTTGCTTAGCACCTCACCATTGCTGAGACTGGCTTTGAACTTGAGAACCTCCTGCCTCGGCCTCCTGAGCTGCTGGGATTACAGGTGTGTGCTACCGTGCCCGGCTCCCAGTTCATTTTTGTATTTTATTTAGAGACAGGATCTCATTGAGTTGCTTAGGGCCTTGCTAAGTTGCTGAAGCTGGCTTTGAACTTGCAATCCTCTTGCCTTAGCCTCAAGCCTCTGGGATTATAGGCATGCACCACTGCACCCAGAACTTCTAATGTTCTATAGCATAGTAGGATAACTAAAGTTGACAGAAATTAATTGAATGTTTCAAAATAGCTAATAGATTTTTAATGCTCTCAACACAAAAAATTGATAAATGCCTGAGGTGGTAGATATGCCAATTACTATGATCTGATCATTACACCTTTTATATGTGTATTGAAATATTACACTGTACCCCATAAATATATAAAATTATGACTTGTCAATTAAAAACAAAAATATTGAAAAAAGAAAAAATATTCAGTATAAAAACTGCATCTGTATTGAACACATACAAACTTTTTTGTCTTGTCATTATTCCTTAAACAACACAATTTAACACCTATTTTCATGGAATTTGCATTGTATCAGTTATTATAAGTAATGTAGATATGATTTAAAGTACAAAAGAGGATAGGTTAAATGGAAATAGAATACCATTTTATATAAGTGACTTAAGCATCCAAGAATTTTGGTATCCTTGGAGGGGGTTCTTAGAAATGATCCCCCCACGGGTACTCAGGGATGAAATATTTTAAAAATGCAGAATTATTAGTAGGAAAGGATCATTATCATTTTAAAATGTCTTTCTTTCCTCAAATAGAATAGAATAATTTCTTGAGAGTCCTTAAATATTATTATTTGTTAGCCACAGGGCTTGATGGATTTGGTGGTTTCATCCTCCAAACTCACAGACTCAACTCATGTTATACTCACAGCCAGACAGTCCTAACCATTTTGGAACACACCAAGAACCAGAACTTACACATATCCTGCCTGGGGAGAAAGGTCATTCAGACAGTGGGACTAGTTAATTCCACTAGGCTGGGTTTGTTGTTGTTGTTGTTGTTTTCCTTGTTTGTGTTTGTTTTTTGCTTGCTTTACCTGGTCAAGAGGGAAGATGGTTTGAGGTGACATCCTGGTGGGAAGCTCAGCAGTAAATAAGAGGGACTATCGGAGAGAAGGAATTTTGCTCCTAAGTTAATCACATACATCTCAGAACAACGCAGCTGCTTCTGAACGTGTGGTTTAGTTGTGTATTCTGGTAACCATGGATCTTGAAGAAGCTGTGCTTCTCTTTGATTTGACAGCTGAAAGCTTCCAGTCCAACATGAGCCTATCTTGAGGGTTTGTTGGAAGACTCTGTTATGTATTACTGTGCTCATCATATCTTGGATTTTATTACTTTTCTGCCCTTATTTCCCTTTTACTGTCACTCTCAACTATTTTGTTCTTTTATATGTATTTGTTTTTCTTTGGGATCTGGCTTTTATTTTCAAATATTATTTTATTTAACTGACAACAATCATACATATTTATGGCATACAATGTGATGTTTCAATACACACATATGTTGTAGAATGATCAATCACACTAATTAGCATATCCATCACCTCAACTGTTTATCATCTTTTTGTGGTGAGAACATTTATAATCCTTTCTTTAGCTGTTCTGAGATTGCAACACATTATTATTAATATAGTCACCATGCTGTATAATTGATTACTAGAATTTATTCTTCCTCCCTGACTGAAACTTGTGCCTATTGACCAATGTCTCCTCTTTCCCTGTCTACCTTCCCTCTCCACCAGCCACTGGTAACTGTCATTCTACTCTCTATTTCTGAGTTTGACTTTTTTAGATTCCATATATGAGATCTATGTACCTAGTGATCTTCTTCACTTAATCTTCAGAAGTGGGCTTTGTCATTTACCCCCTACCAGTTCAAGGATTTGTACATGTAGGTATGCCAAAAAAGTTCCTGTAAATGAATAGGCAAACATTATGATCTGTCTGGACCTTGTTATACCTTAGACAATAACCTGTGGATAAGTTGCATTCTGGTACCAGGGATTGAACTCAGTACTTGACCACTGAGCCACATCCCCAGCCCTTTTTTAATATTTTATTTAGAGACAGGGTCTCACTGAGTTGCTTAGAGCCTTACTAAATTGCTGAGGCTGGCTTTGAACTTGAAC